GACAGAAACTGATCGCTGAGTATACGAGCGTCAATGCTGTTTCCACATCACACCGTCAACCTCTCAGATAAGAGAAGGAAAGTGAACACACATTAGGTAGCAATAGTCTTTGCCAAGAGACTATTGCTATGGGATAACAAGCATACTTCTAGCCAGCAAAACTACTGACTACCTAAGTGGTGCAAATGTGGAATTCCGCGTTACCTATCCCGAAATCCCGGGTTCTATCCCTGTGACGGGCACCATTTTTAGAATGGTACGTTCGTACTATGCTATGGTAAGCACCCCTGGACCCAAGGTTCCAGTCCTAAGCTTGAGATAACTCGCAAAATAGTGTAGCCGTACTACACTATGTTATCCATCCCTAGACCCAAAGGCCAGAGACTGATATAACTAGGAGATAGCTTTTTACACTCTTTTAGGGTAGGACTGTCTAATTCCCTCTCCCGATTTTCTGATGATCCGTTTCTCAAATACTGACCATAACACAACAAAAAAGTTTGCAAGGAACAACGATTGTACGCCGAAAGTTGTAGCGAATGTGCGTATTTCACGATGGAATGTACAAGTAGGACCCTACTGGGGACCTTCTAAAAACGGTAGTTCAGTCATCATCTCCAGCCTTCTTTGAGTTGTCGCTCCCTTTAAGCAGACAAACACCAGAGCACATTTGAGGCGAGCCTCCATAATGTCGGAAGCTTCCCAATACTAGATAAGGCTGTGTAGCTGTTGGGTAAACAACGTTTATCGGTGGAACATAGCAAGCATGCGTTTGGTGATCCAGAAACCACCGAAGATATTGAATCCAGCAGCGAAGGTACCCAAAATGGCACAAATCTGAGCGAAAGCACCGCAAGCAGAGAGCTGCTGCATGGCGCCAACGACAATGATACCAGAGATGGCGTTAGTCTCAGACATGAGAGGGGTATGCAAGGCATGGTCGACACCCCAGACGAGGAAGTAACCGACAATAACAGCCATCACGAAGGACATCATCTGGTCAACCAAAGCGACGCTACGACTAGCACCGATACCAGCACAGCAAGCGCCGACAACAATGAAAACGAGGAAGAAGTTCAACCACTTAGAGAAGGCAGTCTGAGGCTTCTTCTCGGCTTCAACAGGAGCCTCGGCCTTGGGGGCAGCAGGGGCCTTAGGGGCCGGTGGGGGAGCAGGACGAGCGACAGGCTTCCATGTAACCTGTCCCTGATAAGTGCAACGGATTGGTCCGATAACATCATCAGGCTGAGCGAGAGCCTCATCAACACCAGCCGCACCCTTCATCTGGTCGAACA